GGCTGTGGCTGTGGCTGCTGCTGCTGCTGCTGCTGCTGGTGCTGGTGCTGTTGCTGTTGCTGTTGCTGTTGCTGCTGCTGCTGCTGCTGTTGCTGTTGCTGTTGCTGTTGTTGTTGTTGTTGTTACTACTACTATTGCTATTTGCCACCATCCTTTGAGGTCAAAGGCTGCTTCATTCTCCGTCCATGGGCTTACAAGTTGTGGGAACAGATACAGGCATGGTCGCAGAATTTCGCAGCTGGTGAACAACATCCTATGACTTCTGGTGTCAGGGGTGGCTTGACACACAAATCAAGATCCTGGGAGAGCCTTGGCTAAAACAGTGAGTTCAGCAGGCAGAGGCTACGGGTATGCTTTCGGTGTGACGAGCAGGTCGAGAACTGCTACTTCCCCATGCAAGGGCCTCAGAAGAGGGAGGCCGGAAAGCATTCGAGAAGGCTGCGCAAATCCAGGTTCATTCCGAAGTGTTACATGGAGAAGGAGAGTGACCACTTGGATGACTTTGCGCCGGAGCTGGCGATGGTCACCAAGTTCGGCAATGAGGCCAGAGGTCAGTTTCCGATCTCGGGTTCCAAAGGCTTGTGATCTAGAGTGCGGGACACCTGTTGCAAGAGTTGGAATCGTGCATCGTCCATATCAGGAAATTGACGAGCCGGTTGCGATTAGGCCAGGCTTCCTAAGCTTGGCGGCACTGCACAGTACATATAGCTGCATAGGTGCATTGGCAAACTTGTGCAAGCAGGTACATGAATTCCTGACAGTCAGGCCGACGAGCGAGACCGCCATGTACGCAGCATTTTCGAGCTGGGTGCAGTCACACAGGGATTTGCCCCTCAAGCTAAACCAGCGGCTCAGTCGCACAGCTTTGAGAACACTCAATATAGGAGCACCGCTGGTTGCTGCATGCTGCCCAGGTGGTGCAGTGTCGTCCGGTGGGAAGTTAAGCAGACTACCCCGTTTCTGCGAACACGTGAGTTCTTGTGGCAAGAGGGCCACACTGCTTATGCAGAGAAGGCCAGTTGGCAGAGCAGCAGGTGAAGGGTAGAGGCTGAAAAGAAAAGAGCAGTCGGGTATGTAAGTCAACCGAGACCTTTTCGTTCCGGTGCCAGGCCGATGCGGAGAAGGAGGTCTTGGATATCTTAGAACTCTATGCTCGTGTCTACGAGGCCCACAGACCCAGGGTGCACGCGGAGCTGACTGGCTTCTCCATCTGGTGGTACTCGACAGTTTGATTCTGCGTTGGGATGGTTCTTTTTGCACAAGGGTCCCGAGATGTGGCGAGGAGCTTTTGGCCATCCCCGTAGTGCGCGGGACGAAAACGAAGGCCTTCTCTGCGGGACTGGCCGGAGCTGGCCGGTGAACTGCATCTGCATATGCTTTCAGGCTGAGACCTTTCCCGGCGCTGACTACACGACGACGGTAGAGGCAGCGGTGGGAGGACATGCGGCCCTCTCCACTTCCGCTGCTGCCCAGCCGGCAGGCGTTTGTTCCAGCCACGGGCCGTGCAATCCAGGGCGTAGCTGGACCAAGACGGTCAATGGGCAATGTCATGTCACGCCATCATGACCGCGGCGTTTTTGGATTTGAGTATCTGCTGCCAAGGCGACCTCACACCACTTAGGCGCAACCAGTGCTTGCAGTGCCACTCGCATATGGGATCTGAGTCGCATGTTGAGGCCAGAACTTCTCGAAGATGTTCAACATCCAATTTCAGGCAGCAGCCTCCAGCAGAACACGTGTGCCACTCTTCGCCACTCTTCGCCCATGCGCTGCCCCACCAGGATCCGAAGGATCCCACGGGCGCTGCGATTGAGTATGCATACCAAAACTCCTGGGGCCTCACCCAGCGAACCATTGGAGTCATGGCCGGGGGCTTGCTGAAGTGCAAGTCTTTTGCAACTTATTGCTTCTTGGTTGGTTCTGTGACTCAAGGTCATGGTTCATGGCGACGACAAAGGGCTCGTGCTTCCACCGAACGTGGCTGGATACCAGGCTTCAGCTGTCTCCGAGTGAGAGAGAGATAGCTTTGGTGGTGTTGCTTTTCTCTCCATGCCACACCACAACGGTCGGGGGGCGCAGACGCGCGCGGGAGCTATGTCATACCGACTTGAAGCAGCGGGCATGTGTATGATAGGTAGGCGGCAGCAGGCAGGTAGGCACTTAGGTAGGTATGTCATGCAGGGGGAAAAGAGTGGTAAATGATAGCCGTAATATCAGTAATCATAATTTTTGAAACCACGAGACTCCTGGCCTTATCAGCAGCATTTGGCGCAAGCTCTGCTCACGGAGTCCGTTCTTCTCTCACTCCCCCCCGTTCATGGAAGACTCGGTTATGGGAGGGTGTCAACGCCTTCGGGTACGCAATACTTTTCTCGAGGTGCCCTCAGAGGAGGACTTGCTTCGGACTTCGGTAAAGTGGAGCAGGTTTGCGTCTTGGCCTTGTGCCGAGAGTGATGCACCAGAACAACGAGAAGAGTCGATCCTCCGCTTCGATGATGAGCGGCAGGTCCCACAGTGCCAGTCTTCGTCTACCGTGGAGAAGGATTTCACAGAGTCGACTACCCGTTCGAGTTCAGGTGAGTGCAACCCATGCATCTTCTTTGCGAGCTCCGCGGGGTGCAAACATGAGAGTTGCGGGTTTTGCCACATTCATCCTGCAAAAAAGACTGGTCCAGCAAGACGTGCACGCAAACAAACTCGCGACAAATACAAGAGCCAGGTCATGCAGTTGTTGGCGGGAAATCAAGAGGACATGCAGGCGCAGCAGGTGAAGCTTCAGAAGCTCGCCAAAGGCAATTGGTTTGTCCGCTCATACATCTTGGCCTGCCTGAATGACCAGGAAAATGTTGTCGCCGGGGACGTCAACCGAATTCCTGAGGAAGATCGACGTGGAATTCTCAAAGCCGGGCTCGTCCAACGCATCGAGTGAGTGCAACCGTGCCACGCTGCCGTGCCCGTGTTGTGTAGGTTTAAGGATTTTAGGATTTGTGATTGAAGAAGGTGTTGTAAAGCTTTTGGACATCCGGTGTGGGGGGTGCGCAATAAAGTTTGGGCAGCTTGGTGCTGAAAACTCCCGGACACGGTGCCGGGAGGTGAGGCGTGATGTTTGGCAATTAGCCATGATGCCCGCTGCTTGCAGTGATTTTGGGCCAACCTAAACTGACCTAAACCCTATAAACCTTAAACCCTAACCGGTTGACTTCGCATCCTGAGCTCGCATGCGCGAAATACCTGGCCTAGACATCGCAGGCTGTGGGGTGTGACCGCCGCATTTTTCGAGAGACATTCTGCTGACCAGGTGGCTCTGTGGGAGGGTTACGAGTGGTGGTCTCTTCACCGAGCTTAGAGGAAGCAGGGTATACCTGAACCCTACGCAACCTCCATGGTTTAGGGTTCCTTGTTAGGACTGGTTTCTATTCCTGAGGCCTTAAACAAGGTAGGGCTCTTCAGGGTCCAGCTGGGGTTTAGGGCCAGGCGGGGGGTTTTTTGTAGAGAGGGCCAAGCCATAGGACTCAGAGGCGTCATCGGAGTCCTCGACTCTGTCGGAAGTACGAGCTGCTTGGTCTCAGCAACGATTAAAACCAGTCAACCATTTGACCGGATTCTTGCCATGGTTGATGAATATAAGGGCGATCATGTGTCCAAACGACGGATGGCGCTCGCGGAATCAACGGCTTAGGGTCAGGCCCGATTTGTGCGGTGCCCTCCATGTGCAGGGTAGTGCGCAGGCAAAGATGAGCCCAAATCGCAGGCTTAGAGCTCGAAGCGCCAGACTCAATCCGAGATCAGTGTAGCGAGGATCAGCGAAGAAGGCTGTGGTGACGTATATTCATGAGCCTCCTTACGGGATCCAGGGCTTCTCTCGGAATTGAGGGCTTTTCTTCAAAGCTTGAGTTGGGATGTGGCCGCGAGGTCTATGGCGAACACAGGAAGTTCAACCAATTAGGCAACCCGAAGAAACCTGGGTCGCTTACTTTGGAGAAGGCAGCCGATGCCAAACCCCTTGGAATTTATCCCGGCAACTTAGTCTGGGAAGTTTTGCGCAAACTACTCTCCGGACAGTCTTACGGTTTTTGGACGCAGACTCTTGCTCCAGATCCGCTCCATTGCCAGGTATCTGCGGGCAGCAGATCTTGGGGGACTATTGGTTTCAGAACCTGACTGGGTCTGCAGAATATAGCCTTAAAGCTCCGTGTACTTGGATAGCAGGTACTTAGGCGTTAAAGTACCTATGGACCTATGTAGGCACAACTTCAAGGGCTATGTATGTATTATGGAGCCTTAGCGAAGCTTGTTGCCTTCTGTATCAATGTCGGTCTCTGTGTGCGAAGGGATTGAACATGGTCTATAGGGCCTCCCTATCGTCTCCATTGTCGTTGTTTTTTCCTAACTAACCCGCTTTACAGTTAGGATCCTATCCAGGTAACCCAAAAGAGGAACTGCAATGGGGACTACAGGTAGTGTGGGGTCTATGGGTTTAGAGGGTGCGTTCTGGGTTTACGGCATCAAGTCCGGTTTCAAAAAACGGTCCCGTCTCAAATGCATGGCGATGAGCGAACCGTCGAGAGCTTTTCTACGATCTATGATTGGCGACTTCGAGAACGGTGTTGAGGTAACCATCTTCCGATGTTCGTTAATTTGGTTTCTCCCTTAGGGTTTAAGGCTAAGACTTTTGCATGTAGCACATGTCTGAAGATTCTCGAAGTGAGCCGTTTGGCAATCGGGAGACCGAAACCCGCCTCATGACCGGATCCAGCGCAGTGGGCTGAGGGTTAAGGCTGTAGGTTTTTCGGATTTAGGGTTACAGGCCCGAGGGTTTCGATTCTAGGGGGTAAGCAGCTGCTCGGATCTGGCATGCAGGGTATGTTGTCGGGCCTCTCGGCCGATTGAATGGCAGACCTGGAACAAGGCAGCAACACAACGTGAGCCTCGCATGCCCTTGGGGGATACGGGCCAGTCTCACATTTCTTACACCGCAGAAGCCTGTGCTTCCTGAGCCGTCTGGCCGTCAAGACCGACGCTTTGCAAAGTCCCGGTGTCCTTGAGTTCTTGCGTGCCTTGAGTGGCTACACCACCAAGCCCCAAAATGTATACCATAGTTAACACTCCCCGAGTTTAGGCTTCGTCATGATAGCAAGGAATGGTTTTGGGAGGACCTTGCAGATATCCACTGCTTCTGAGCCAGTAAAGCTACCGGGCTTCATGCTGTTAAACTTATACTCACATCTCCACAGAAGCGGAGGAGGTTCTCCCAAGACAAAGAAACCCTTTCACCGTTCTTGGCTGGAGGTTCATAGAGTGTACAGGGCATGTAGGTTTGGAGGGTTTAGGTCTCAGGGATTTTAGGGCTGGCCTCCTGAGTTCAGAACCGAATCTATCCAGTGAGCGGCTTTCGCATGCGGCTGAGTTTTTAGAGGCTGCTCTCCAGGCAGAGCGCCGCCAGCGCATGCAATGTTACAACACGGACAACCTGATGCTTCACGCTAAGCGGAGGCTTCTCCTCGTGAGCCGTGCTCGCGGCTCCCTGGCGCTTGGCCAAGTTCCCGAGCATGGCAAGTCATAGTGTCTTCGGGCCTCAGAGTTTATTCATGTCTAGCTGCTTGCTAGGACCGCTAGTAGCTTCAATATTTCCTGGGCCTTCCTCTGAACACACTATGAACACTGGAAGTGCAAGGCTGAAGGTCCAGGTTTCATGTCTGGGGCTGACAGGCATTTTTTGCGCGGGCAAAGCCCGATTGTCGCGCCTGCCTTTCGTCGAGGTCCCACTGCGCTACAGAGTCGTGAAGCACCGCAGCCTTGATCCTCTACTCAACTCTTGCAGTAATTATGTGAGCGAGAGAGAGAGAGCCGCGGGCTACAAGACCTCGATGAAAAGGAGCAGGTCTTCACGAACGAAAGAACTTTTCATCCCGAGCTTGGGGTTTTAAGGGTTCCAAGTCGCAGGGCTTCAGAACTCTTTGATTTGAGGGCTTGGATGTTGCAGCAAACACCGCAAGGGCTAGGTTTTTCAGGATTTCGCAGCCCGAGCAGCTTGTGTGAGAAGAGCTCTGCACGCCAAGAGGCCATCCGGGATCTCAGCCCAGGCTCCGACTTCAGGTTTCGTCGAGGTCTTCTGCACGAGACAGCCGCGGGCTTTGCCTCGTTCCTAGACTGCTCATCGCAGCTAGAGAATGGGATGCTGCTGGATCTTTTCCATCTAACAGTATTATGATACTTACTGTCATCATGATCATGATGATGATAATCATCATCATCACCATCTTCACGACAACATGTAACATCACTAGAATTGTAGTGATAACAACAATCATTTTTTTTTGCAGCTGCTTGCGGACTGGCAGTGCGGATACTCCTTATCCTCTTGGATGGCTTCGGGCTTGTTGCCAAGGGCTGCAAGATGAAGTGGAAGGTAGGACACAGAGTTTGAAGTGTGGTAGTTTCATCCCGTCGCCCTAAACCCTGACCTACATACAGACATACACCCTCACCTGCAAGTTGAATGGCAGACAGTCCGAGGCTTTCCGATTGAGGGAAAGCGCCAGAAGTACTGGCAAGCATCGGGACTGTACCGGCGGACGGCGATGCGTTTTCGGAGGAGTCGAAAAAAGCGATTGTACGCGGAGGTCAGGAGCTACGCCCATAGCCCTCGCGAAAGAAAGAAAGAGCGAGAAAACAGTGGGTGGGCGTGATGCCCGGGGGCTTTTCAGGCGGTCCCCGGGTCACTCCCCGGCCTTAGAAAGGGAAGATCTCCGCAGCCTTCTTTTATGGCAATGACTTGACCTCGGAGCTTGGAATGCGGGGAAGAGGTCCAGGGGGATACTGGTCAACGGTCAGCGAGACTGCAAGCCGGTAGCCACTTTAGAGCTTTCGTGTTGGAGGCTTCACTCGAGAGCAACAGAGACACGATCGGTTCTAAGCATGTGTTGAGCGGAAGTTTGGCAGCTTTTGTGCCAACCTTCGTCCTATCTGCGTGCTATTGACGAGGCTAGCAAGGACTTTGCGTTGAGGACAAGACATTGAAAACTTTTCGGAGCTCGACAACTGTGTTACTGACAGGTGGGCCGACAGAACAGGGGTTCGGGATAGCCCCCAAGCCCGTAGGCCTGCAGAAAGAGAGGGAGGGTGGCGGGCAGGAAGGTGGAGATACCAGTCTGAACAGAGAGAGCCTGAGTTCAAGGCGGCGCTGTAAAATGCCCTGCAGGTCGTCATTGTGCCGCTGGGTATCAAGGCGAGCAGCACCGAGGAAGACAAGAAGTCCTTGGCTGAGGTGCCCCGGCGGCATGTGAAGTGACGTGAACCAGGACGTTTTTTTGGACCTGAGTTGGTTGAGAGTTCAGAGGCATTGACATACAGCCTTGCTCCAGGTCTCTCAGGCTTACACCAAGCGGCTGAGGGCGGCCGGAGTTCGCGTGTTCCTAGATGACGTTCTAACCTCAGCCTGTGCAAGACGGCGCGCAGCCATCCTCTGCAACCCCTGCTCTCAGGATAACACCAATTCACCTGGATGGAAGTTCAACAACTGGGAGATGAAGGGGGTACCTTTGAGGATGGAGTTGGGCCCGCTCGACATTCAGAAAGGCGATCATTGGGCGGGGTTTCAGGCTGATACACTAGTCTGACGTCCATTCAAACATGTCGCATGTCTGCTTCAGGTGAGTTCGTGCTGGCAAAAAGAAACATTCTGGATCAGAAGGCCCGAATAAAATCATGGAGTGGGTGCTACCTGAATGTGTGCCTCAAAGAGCCCAGGCAGGTAAGGTGATCGGCAAGCACGACTCCCTCGAAGATGATGTGAAGAGCAGCTGGGCCAGATGTTCTCATGGCCTCGCTGTTATTGAACCTGGTCTAAATGGTTGGGAATGATGACTGTCTGGCTAAGGAACACTGGATGAGATACACAACGAGCTTTATTCCAAAGCCCTGGCCGAACGGGATAGCCGTTTGGCAACAATTTCCGAGTGGAAGGACCGCTTCCTGCAAAGCGGCAAGTGCACAGATCCTGCTTTAGCGACCGGACCTTTGTTGTAGAGAATGTTCCATGTTTAAAGCGGCCTGCGCCTTCGAGCTTTGCATGCTGCGGCAGGACTTCAGTCCGAATTTGAATGAAGGCAAGATGGTCATGGTACCTTTCTGTGGCGTAAAGGAGTGTGAGGAACGAATGAAGGACTGCGTGGGCGGGCCGCATCCACGTGCAGCAGTATGCGGTGCCAGTTGAGCTTCTCTTTTCTGAGTGGTCCTGACAAACTTTTCATCTGAAAGGAGAAGTCCAAGGAGGAGGCACAGTTTGATGGGGGAGTCGCCTTTCAAAGCAAGCCCACTTTCGAAACTACTCGAGGCGGCAGAAGTTGAGGTGGCTGGCGGTCTGAAGATGGGCGCCAAGAGTCTCTGTGTGCCTCTGGAGGACCGTTGCACGTCGAACTGCCCCCGTTGCCGATGTATAGTGATGATGCGTAGTGTGGCGAGACTTGTTGTGCGACTGACGCCGCGCTGGCCCAAAGCCGGCAGAGCAACGTCTCAGCTGGGTTTGCATGCCTCTCGAGCTGCAGTCGAGCCAGGCTCCTTGCTGCAGTCGTGCCAAGTGCCGTGCCTCCTGGCCTGCCTGCACATAGATGTTCAAGCTTAGGAATGGCCTGGCCAACAGACGGAGATGTACGGCACTGTCGGCTCTGTTGCCAGCCTGGCATCCGGGACGGAAGATAGTTTTGGCGGTTGCATCCCCAGCCCAGGCTTGGTTCTCTCGTGCTTGAGCCTCATAAGCTCCTTGGCCTGCAGACTCAATGCCGCATGAGTGCTTTTGATGTCAGCTCTATGCAGTGCGAGGCATTGCGCAGACTTCCCAGCCATCACAGTGTGCTGATGGCAGCATCCCAAGTCGTCCAGTCATCCGGTTGCAACCACTCTGCGGCATGAGCTCTGAGGAACCTGCCCGAAGGGGCGCAAGGATTCGGGTGTGTTGCTGCGCCTGGGCTGATGGAGGTAAACTAGCCGTATCGCCAACCAAGTCTCTGAATAGGTTTGTATGATGCTGACATCGATCTACACACAGAGACCAGGATGCAGCTCAAGCCGAAGCTGCGACGGGCCGAGAGCAACACGACAGACCAGGTGGAATGGCAAGAGATGCGAAAGCTTTGTAGGTCGGATGTCACCACAACACATCACCGCAGTTCATCATTCCAACGACTTCATGCTCAGTTTTCGTCTCGGTTTATTGTGACCAGTGCTGCTATTTTGCTGTCGCGTCGTCTGTTACCACAATACTGCTGATGCTCCTTCGGAACTTCTGCCGCTGCCACCACCACTCTACCACCTACAGTGCCACTGCCGCTGCACGACGAGAACCAGGATCAGAACGACCACCGCAACTCGTGCCACTCGTGTACGTTTGGTAGTGGTAGTGGTAATGGTAGTGGTGGTAGTGTAGTTAAATGCGGTTGCGGTTGCAACTGTAGTAGCAGCAGTAGTAGTGGTAGTAGTCGTCGTCGTCGTCGTGGTTGTGGTGGTGGTGGTGGTGGTGGTAGCAGTCGTCGTCGTCCTCGTCATCGTCGTCGTCGTCGTCGTCGTCGTCGTAGGAGTTGGATAAGGAGCAACAGCAGCAACAGCAGCAGCAGCAGCGGCAGCAGCAGCAGCAGCAGCAGCAGCAGCAGTAGCAGTAGCAGTAGTAGAGTAGCAAAAAGGCGGTATGGCTTGAGGCACTTTCGTCGACAGAGTTCGCCAGGACGAAAAGTGGCCGAGCTGCTGCGCTCGCTGTGGTAGTCGTGGCTGGTGCTCTCCTATGAATCTTGGCTAGGCACTTCCTTTCAAGGGTCGGGGCGACAGCGTGGCGAAAAAGTTTCCAAGGCTTAAAGCTCTCGCACAAGGGTTTTGATTGTGCATACTTCGAGCTAGATTCACTCCCGGCGGAACCCGAAAACACGGCCGAGGAGTGGGAAGTGCTTCTCATCTGCATTGGGCACTGGGAGCGTTAAACCCGTGGTTCTGCGGTCGTGCTTGTTGATGCAGCTTCTTCGACACCGTGCGGGTAGTTTTTCAATGAAACACGACCGCGCATAGAGTCGACCTGACTTCCGACCGCATGATGCACTGAGGCCACGAGTTGCAGAACAAGCTTTACTATGAGGCTTGCGAAGCGCATCCAGCAGATGCGGTGAAGGTTGGGGCATTGGACTGGTCTGATGCTGGGCCCCTAGCTTTATCATGAGCCCGGCCCTCTTGGATCCGATTCCCGTGATGGAATTCTGGGCCGATGCAGGAGTTTGAAGGTGCCGAGATCGACAGCGCGAGCTGGGTTTCTGAGCATTGTTTCAGCGCTTTCTTTTGGATGCTCCGGCTAGACGTCGCCTGTCAGCATCGAAGCTCAGGTTCTGCTTGAAGCGGAGGGGGGAGTTCCATCTGTGAAGTACACCAGCCGAAGGTGCCTGGTTAAGGGTCGGCATTGGGCGGGGATGCGTAGCTGCTTTTGCAGTATGTGGGGGCATGTTTGAAGCTTGCAGGGACAATGCTTTCGTGGAAGACGGCTCATTGAAGATCGTGGCGAAGTGCGAGGTTGGAGATGAAGAGTAGCAGAGTAGCATGTGGCAAAGCCTAAACCAAAAGCGGGCCTGGCTGGAGCAGGATATGGGCCGCTGGAACTACTCCTCTGCCAGGTGGGTTTGTCTTAGCGCGACATGACGACAATGGAAGCTGTGCAGGCTGACCACCGAGAGACTTCGGGAATGGGGCCCGGGTCATCGCATCGAGCTGCGGGTGATGTGCTCAGAGATTGTGCGAAAGACCCCTGCCACGTCACATGGGATCGGAGCTTCAGGCTCGTGCCCCGGCTGGCCGTGGTGCTTGGCCTGCTGCGTGGATGCTCCCATCCCAAGGTGTCGAGGAGCCTCTGGTGATGTTGCTTCCCATTCGCATGCTGCAGGTCATCATGGAACAGAACATGGTGGTGAAATTGGCATTATGGAAACCACGGGCTGCATCAGCGACAAGGTGCGGAAGCATCCGGTGTCAATCAAAGCCACGGAAGCATTCAACAAGCTCTAGCCTCTAGCATGAAATTGAAGGTGCAGGCTGCGGTGCAAACGGGTGCACCTCTCAGACTCAAGCGTGCAAACGTACGCCCACGGGTGCGAGAGCCATGTCATGACTACGCGAGGTGCTTTCAATGCTGGCAACAAGTTGCAGCATCTTATCTTGGGTGGTTCTTAGTTTTCGTGTAGCGTAGCCAGCTTTGAACACCCGGGCCCAGCATGCACGAGGAAGGGACATCACTTCTACACCACTGTCTCCAACTGGCATGTCTACACCCTCGCCACTTTGCAGATTGTGTTAACAAGTCGACTTGGTTAGCTGAACTTAATCAGATGCTGCTTGGATTCTCAAGACTTGCAGGATTGGCTACCTGGCAGGCTGAAGTGGTATGTGGTGAGCTGCTCAAGTGTTCCCGGGCTTCCACCTTGAATTTGATGCATGGCAAATGTCAGAGATCACAGCCAGGACGGCGTGAGTTTTTTCAGCTTCACGCCGGACAGTTTCAGCATCGCGGAGTGGCCTTTCAGCAAGAACTTCTTCCTGAATCTTGATGTCGCCGCCGGAAGCTCGCAACAGCGGCCGGCCGTTCCACATGTGCTCGTCAGCTCCCAGGTCGCAGGCCCATGGGCCGGCTTCTGCCTGGATGGCCACTTGCCATCATGTACAAAGAAGGAGGAGTTTGGCCGGGACCAGGCCCGAATCGCCTCAGTAGAACTCCGAGCTCCTGTCGCTGTAGAGAGGTATTCGAGGTCGACTATGTCCGTGTCTACAGGTTGGATGAGGCTTGCACTTGTGACATTGCAGGGAACGAAAGACCAGCAAGAAAGTGCATGGCGAGGATGTAGTGGCATATGTTTTGATCTTGTAGATGGATTGCTGCTGTGGAGGCACATGATGGTTAACTGCCGCGGCTTGGCTTTGCAAGGGTGCTGCGCCAGCTCCTGTCGGTACCATTTGGGCTCTTCGTCTTCGTCACTGTGGTCATGGCTGCCAAAGAGCAGCCCAGAGTTCGATGCCACATGCGGAAAGAAGTCCGAAACATGAGAGAAACGAGAGGGGAACAGGTCTGCTCCTGCCCATGCATCTGAGCTGGCCCCACCACGGCTGGTTTGTAGCCAGATGCACATGTCTGAAGATTTGTCAGCAGGAGAAGTACAAGAAGGATTGCCCGTGCAAGTGCATCTATCCTGAGTGCCAATGTCGACCGCCTAGCATGGATGGAAGCATCAATGTCCAGCATGAGCTTCACCTTTGCCTGTCCGGGGTCTGTGCATATGCACACTTGCGAGCAAGCGAGACGGAGAGACAGAAAGAGAGAGGGTGGAGCCGCCTCACCTTCAGGCGGGCTGAGTGCAATACGATACAGTCGGATACAGTGTTGCAGGCACTTCAATGCCGCCCGACGCAAACTGGAAATTCGATTGCGCGGGGTAGCGGTCAGGAAGGTCACCTGCTTCCCACGAAATCCCACGAATGTTTCTTTCGGCGGCGCCAGAGCCTTCTGGGGTTCGCAAAGCATGGCGCTGAGCAACTCGAGACCAGTTGGAAACCGCAGATGGCAGCTTCGGCAGAGACAGCGACAATCGTGGTGAGGCGGGATTGCGTGTAAGAGTGTGAAGAAGAAGAACAACAAGAAGAAGAGGAGGGCATACCTAAACATGCATGTATCTACAGAGACGATGTGCTCCCTGTGCTCCTAAGGGAACGACCAGGTGATGCAGTGGACGATGTTCGGACGGAGCTACTGAATTGTGCAGTCATAGACTGTAGCGCAGGTTATGGATGCCAGGCTCCAGCCAGAAAGGAAGTGACAGTGCCATCCAACAAGAATTCAATGGCCTTCGCAACGATGATCAGCTTTCTGTCCAGAGCCTGTGCATTGCCTGATTTTCCCAAACGATGGACAGCCTCAACCCTGGCTCGGCGTTGAGCGGATTTCGTTTCGACTTGCGACCGACTGCTGCAGCTGGCCATCACTAAGTGGCCAGGAGCGAGTTTTGTACAGTAAGCCCTGACGGAACTTGGAGGACGTTTGGCACGACTGGGTTATTTGCTCGCCAGAAAAGGTAGGATTCAAGATGCTCGGCTGCCTCACGACACGCCAAGCTGACATGCAAAGACTCGTGCCAGTGCCGCCCTCTGACTACCCTCTGCAGTGTCGGCTGACCTCGAGATCCTAGCCGACGCGGCTTTCACAAGACATGTAGGTAAAAGGTTAATAGGTGCTGGAGCAGACGGTAGAGCGAGTGATTGCCAAGCATCCCTTTTTGATTACTGCAAACCCTCAGACTTGCGGGATGTGCTACCGGCCGGCTTTTGCTGCATCATGCCGAGCTGAGTCCGGTTGGGGACTGAGGCTGCTGTTGTGTCAGATGTGGCCAAGGCTCATGCCGAAGAAAACCGCATGGAGAAGACTGCAACTGGAAGCGGTTGACTTCTTCGCTTCCAGCAAATCCGTCTCTCCAATTTTCTATCCTAATGCGAGTTGGCCCCCAAAAAGTAAAGGCCCTTAAGAAGGCTGAGAAGGCTGCGAAAGCAACGTTCTGAGGGCATTGCTGCATTCGGCAGGTCTGGGAATGATGAAGCCCTGGAGGTCCCTACATGAGGCTGGTCCATGACGTAGAGACGTAGAGTACTTGAGGTGATCCGAGTTGCCCAATGTGAGTCCGACGCTCGAACTTTGGATTGCAGGGATGTGATCGAAGGCGATGCTGGAGGCAGTCTCCACCTCAGGGCCTCGCGGCTTCCGGAAGGCAAGGAGTGTTTAATGTGTGTCAGAGGGTGCGACATGTCGGAGGCACTGGAAAAATTGCTCCTTCGCTTTCTGGCACCTTATGTAGCGCCTCAGTTGCAGATATCTTATGACGACTCTGGCGCTGATGCTCATTGATTCTCTACGTAGACTCAGATAGTAACAAGCCAGGACGGCATTGCCCGGGACAAGCTGCACTTGGGAGTCGCAGCCTTTGCAGCAAAGGGGGAGTGAGAGGCGACTGCTCAGCTGTCCATCTGCCTGGAGATGCACAGCATCTATATGTAGTAATCATAGTAAGCCTTTTGGGCCCATGTTGTGTACTTCCCATCTGCGACTTGCCTTTCGTTCTCAGATGCGCTCTGCAGACAGATGTACAGAGGTCCACCTCGGAGCAGCGGAAGAATCCCCGTCCCCCATGCGGTGTCCCGTTTGACCTCTTCTTCCTGGTTTCATGCCTCATGATGCCCTGCCCGGGTGATGGAAGCATGAGGATCGCAACTTCTGTTTTAGGCATATTGTCCTCTTTCTGCTAGCCATGGTTGCCGCTCCCAGGTGTTTCGAGGTTGCCTTGAGCTTCGAGGCTTAAGGGTGAAGGCCGAGGCAGCCACGCTGCCTTGCGCTCAGCTTGGCTCGGCTCGCAGTTTTTCTTGGGGAGATGGGCAATGCTGTTTCTTGAAGAGGTTGGGATTGGAGGGCCTCCGAGTTCGCAATGGAGGCAGGTACAGTCAGGTAGAGTAGACCTCGGCGAAAGATGCGCCAGCCCATGGAGTTTGTGTGGAGGCATTGGACTCATTCAGCTCAAAATTCCATGGAGGAAGCTGCCCCTTGGCTGCCTTGCTGGTTTGCATTTCCGCAATCTTGGGCTCAACAGAGCCTTGGGCTGAGTGGAATGTTGGAATTGTGGAGCTCCTCGAGTGACGCAACGAGTTACGCATGCCCGTGGAGAGGCACATCGGCAAGCTGAGCGCTGTGGCTGGGTGCTCAGCTATCGGCAGCACAAACCGGTACTGAATCGATGGTGCGCTTGCCCTATCTTGCCATCTTCCTGCTTGTCGAGGTGAAGGAGTTGCACCTGGAGTTGGAGCCGCTCGCTGAGGCAAATGTTACTGTTGTCATAGAGGGGCAGCACCTTCCAGACAGCTTCGATATGCGCGCCAGGCGCTTGCTGGCAATGCCGGCACAAGGCAATTGCAGGACAGTCCCTTTCCCGTGCAGAGGTTTACGCGCGCATTGGGCCGTCGTGGCTCGCAGGAGAAACTCATCAAGGAACTGCGCAGTGCCAAATCGAGGGCAGTCCCTGTGATGCACTAGGCCTTGAAGAAGCTGGGGTTTGGAATTTACCACATGCGACGTGAGTACGCCGAAAGAGAGAAGTGAGAATCCGGTAAACACTGCGTGCAAAGGCGAATTGTGTGCGCATGTTTTGGCGGACCGCAGCAGCAGCAGCTGCGCAAACTTCGTGCTCTAATATACTCCACCTTAACATCCGCAGATCTTTGAGGTTGAGCTGCGCACCGCTCAGCTCAGAGACCTGCTTGAGTATCCCTGGCAATTTGCAGATGGGTGGATCAAAGAACCTTGTGTCACGACTTCGTTCTTGCTCTCTGAGCCATTGTCACAAAATGGCATGACGACCCATCCGATGGTTCATGCTCGTCTGCCGCATTTGGATCTACCCCAAAGCACAATGATAGCATTCCCGTCCTTAGACTCCTGGGCAATGTAACGACGAGCCCATCTCTGCGTCCGCGCGGGCCGCTGCAGGAGACATCTGCAATATTCTGCAATACAGCATGCCACTGGAATGGAATCTGCGGATTTGCCTGCAGTTGCCCACAGATATGTTGCAACAGGGTCTGTGCTGGAGCCTGTGCCTAATGTGATAATGTGCGTTCAAGCTTGAGTGTGCCTGCGACCGGTTTGGTGTAGTCAGAGTCTGAGCGTTGGACGGGAGAGTGCATGTAGGTGGCCTCAATTTCTGGACTGCTTTGCCGCAGAGAGTATGCAACAGCTATGAATCAAGAGTTGCAAGCACGCAAGGGTCTGCAAGTGTCCACCCCAGCATCCGGGCCTCCAGATGCAGGTGGAATGCAGCGCAGGCTTGCGCAGACTGACTGTCTTCCTGAAGCAACCCCCCCTAGTTCGGGGGGGCAAATAAGAGTCCGGCCCTACAGTTGCTTGACTCAAGAAGCCAGCTCCTCAATTTCTTGGGGCTTGGCCAGAGACTTCCCCCCCCCCCCCCAAACCAGGCTTCGATCCATCGGCTTGGCTTCGCATCGAATTCGGTTCGTGCCTACATCCGGCCAGCTGAGCGCGCTCGCATCTTGCGCCACTGAGATATCTTGAGCAGCCTGTCGGGGGTTCAGAGGTTTGTGTGCCTGTATCACGCCGACTCAAACCTTTGGAACCTCGCCCGGCATGTCCGAGTTGTGAGAGCGTAAACAGCGTGTCGCCGCACAGCGCGCACTTGTCACGGGAAGCCGATTTATATATGCAGCCTTCCCCACGACTGATCGGACTTCTACCTTGTGCTTTCAGCGAGCATTTCGTTTAAGGCTTGGGCGTGCATGGGCTGTGGCAGGCGTTGTTCACCCATCACTAGTCGCTTCTAGTCACTAGTCGCTTTCTACTCAATCTCAGATGCGAGGAGTCGCAGCAGCTGCAATTGAAAAAGGTGTTGCAACGGCATCGACATGAAGCAGGTTGTCTTGCCCCCAGTGTAGCAGATCTGTCTACCAAGCCTACTTGTATACCCTGGATGCAAAACCTGAACTGGCGCTCGAGGTTTCTGTCAAGCTGCCACCGCCCGGACAAGGCCGTTCATGGACCTTGTAGACGTGGAGCCGAGAGACCCGTGGCCCCCCAGAACCGAAGAATGAAAAATGCACCGAGGTCTGGCACCCGTCAATGGCAGCACCGCAGGTTCGGGCCGTTCTCGACCCGCAGAACGCCCGACATCTGCACCTCGGTAGTGTTTGCTTGGCAGACCTTGCAAAACCCAAGCGGAACTCAAGGCGGTGCAAGCAGTGAAGGGCTAACGACGTGGTCACAATTGCATCGGTTCGTTTTCGGAAGTCATCTGCTAATGCCAACAGTTTGACAAGCGGAAGAGCGTCCCGACCAGCCTGACCTCAGCAGAAAACTGCTCCAGAATGAGCCAGTTTACAGTGAGGCAACGGCCAATCCAGATCAGTTTGGCTGTCACCCCATTGAACAGTTGCATGCTACATGTGGCACAACATCCATGAGACGCTGTGTTTTCGCTGAAAATCTCTTGTGTTTCTACGGCAAGCAGCAGCCTGGGTCGAAAAGCCGAGGAAATGGTGGCTCTTGATGCGGCCGACTCCCCGATCCGAAGACCGGAGGGAGGCAGGGGAGGGATTCGGAGGGCTGCTAATCGCTAGGAGTCGGATCCAGCAGTCATGCGGAATCATGCCGACAATTCAAACTCTAAGAGAAGTGTTTGGCACGGGCACAAGAAGCTCTTGCGGCTTGCCGCGGCCTGCCAGATGGATCGAAACTACCGAGCTCGGAATCAGCGGCTGCAGAGGCTTCGCCGCTCCAGCGGGATGTCACATGTTGAGAGAGTTATCAGATGCCTGTCCGTTCAGGTAACAGAACCTGGCCCGGCACTGGAAACCAGTGGCCGAGAGTCGGATAAACCGTTTGAAGGCGGCAAGCCTATGTGCTGCCCTTCTGAGCACGAAGTTCAACCATGGCTCTACGTGTATCTGCAGGTATGGGATCTTCTACCCCGGCCAAGCCTGACGGTGCTGAACATCAGCTTACCGCCGAGTCAGGGAGTGCCACGGCAGAGGCGCCGGTGCCCTGAAGTTCTACGAAAGCTTCTAGCATTTCAAGACCTGCCGTGCCAGGCCGCCGCAGATGGCTCGAAACCGCAACCGCCGCCGAGAGACCCGCGCGCCAACTGCTTAAGCAACTGTGATCCCTGCCAACGTCTCTGCCAACCGTCCTGACAGAATGGGGTGTTCATCCAGGCCAAGGGGGGTGCCGTGCGACAGACACCTCGCGGCCACAAAAAGGACAGACGCGTGCATAGTGCATGGGCATGGTCATGTCCTGTGGGAGACCGGGCAGTCAGGAGCAGAGAGAACAGAAAGAAGCAAAGACGGGCGATTCCAAGGACACGCAGAGCAGGCTGAGTATGGCCAAGCGAGTCATAAAGTCCCATGGCAAGAACCCTTGCCTTGCTTGTTTTCCAGGCCTGCCAAGCAGCCCCTCTCTTCGCGTGAACCACGGGACCGCGACCGACGGCGCTCTGCGCCAATACCGCGGGCGCCCAGGGCAAACTCAGAGCCACCCAAAACAGCTCAGAGCGATGGAGCAGTTCGGACTCCAAGCCACGTGGCGCAGTTTCGGATGTGAGGTTTGCATGTGTTTGTCTTGGACTTTGGCCACTAGAAGACTCACCTGCTCATCTTAGGCTCAATCGATCCACGATTGGTACGCTTGATTTCGGAGATCGAGCGCCGTGGCTGCATGTGCCGCATTTGCCCGTGATCGAGTTCGACCTGATGTTTGCGAAACAAGACTACTACAGTCTGACAGGAACCACTTCGAGCAGTTTGATAGCAAGCCTCCTGCAGATGCAATGGGCTGGTTGAAGGAGACTGCTCAGCTAGAACTCTTCGAAGAAGACGCTTAGCCGACTTAGCTCACCCTTCTGTTGTTGATCTGTGCGGAACAAGCAGAGCCCAGATTCCCCGGCCCTAGGAACTTCGTTGGATGCTCAAGCAGCACGAGAAGGACGAGGCACGCTGTACCAAAGCCTCCTGCCTGTCTCACTCTGCTTCCTTGGGCCCAGGGCGACAAGCCAAGCGCTGATCACAGCCCAGCGAGCGAGGCTAAGGCAGAGCCAGCCGAACGCATCCATGTGGAGGATGTCCCCTCAGAGCCGGCGCGGGCTGGCGGCACGGAAGTTGGAACTTTATAGACTACGCGGCCTGCCGTCAAAGTTTAGAGTCACAGCTGCATCGGCGAGAGCGGCTTTGAGGCCACGCGCCGAGAAAGACCTGAACTCGGCGCTGCTACACCTGCGCAGCTGCTCCTTGGTCGAAGGGAAACGTGAGAAAAATCCAGAGCGTCCTTGGGATTGGCTGTGCCAGGCGAGCGGGAGCATGCTCATTTGATGCAGCTGTTGGGTTATGAAGATGCGGTCTTCCGCGAGGACCTGCGCGGTTTTGTTTGTCTTTGTGTTTTTGAAAAAGGGGGCCCCGGCCGCGAAGGAGCGCCTCATGGAGATTCGCGAGCTCGAGGAAGAAGTTGAGCAAGAGCAGCGTAAAGTCAAGCATATGGATGCCGCAACTCTTCTCTAAGACCGGACAGCGCGCGCGTTCGAGTCGAAAGCATCTCGACAAAAGCCCAGAGTCCAGCAAAGGAAAACCGGCGGCGAGAGCGCGCGCTGGCCCGTGCCGCAGCGCTCGCAGCCAGCTCGATGAACCCGGAGAGCGACGGGAACGGCCGCGCCACTTGACCGCAGCATCACTTGAGGGCCCTGGGGAGGGAAGAGAGAGAGAGTCACTGGGACTGACTGGAACATGTCTCTCAAGGCACTGCGGCAGACAGAGCAGTGGGAATCCGAAAGTGCCGTCTGGCAGGCGGGTCAGAGGGCTGGGCAGTCATTACGACGATGATCATGTTTACAAATCTTAAGCGATGAATTGCTATGCTTCGCTGTCCAGGCAAATGCAACATGCTGAGAGTAGGTGCTGAACCATGGCAGGTGAAGAACGACGCTTGCTAGAAGTTGGGCAATCCGCTTGCTCAGAATGACAAAGACTCTGGGAGATGGTGCGTTGCTAAAGTGTTAATACTATTTTCAGCGAGTTCTGGCCATGAGGAAAATCTGCAGAAACAAGTCCTGCAGCTGAATATCTACATGAAGCAAGACTTGGACAAGCAAGACCAGCTGGAGCAAAAGCTGCAGGCTCTGCATCCTGCTGGCACTCTCAGGATGTGCTCCAGTTTAGCGGTCTCCTGGGATGAGACACTTCGTCTAGAGTCCAAACCGTAAGCAAGTCGATCGTATATTCTCCCGGCTCGTGGAGCCGAGGCGGGAGAAGCTGGAGAGTGAGGAGGCGAAGCAGTGGATCGAGGCCAGGCGTGCATGCATTCGGCAGGACAGGTAGCCCGTGCGAATGGCGTGCAAAAAGGAGCAGCGGCAGCGAGAAGAAGAACGCTGGAATGCAGAGCAAGTGCTTTCTGCAGAAGTCAAAGCTCTCCAGGTACGTTTGCGTTCCAGTTGCGGCAAATTGCACGGGTTACTGAGTTACTGCTGGGATCGCTGATCACTGTTTATGGCATCTGCAGGACCGGCGCGTGTCGGATGTACAAGCCACCAAGAAAGCGCATACGGAGATGTCACTCGCAGTCCGATGAGTTGAAATCCGCATGACCCCGAAGTGTTCTGTGAACGTAGTCCAACAGAGCTGCATCAGGGTCAAACCAACTTCATGCACATGCTTGTCTGAGGCCATGTCGCAGGTAGAGGGCGGCGAAGGCGAAGGTGAGAAGCTAAGTTAGTTTGGATGAAAGTCTTAGGCAGCGACAGCTCGTGGATCTGAGAAAGCAGCAAGCGACCCTGGAGCCCCGACTAGTCGCTGTGCTGCAAGAGATGTGCTTCTCACCCGTGTGCTTATGGACTCCTTCGTCTCGTGTGCCGTGGGCATCACCTCTATATCCTAGTCCTAGTGTAGCTTTGATTAGGCCCACTTGGATGGTTTGGAGAAGCAGCTGCGGCGCCAGTGGAAGCAGCTGGCACGGCAGCGTCGGAGGGAAGCTGACAACGCTGCTCCTCGGCCTTATCCGGCAGTTTGGCAAATACGAAAATTTAAGTTAAGGGTGTATGAATTTTTCGTCGTAGCATCGTCATGACTTTCGTCGCACTGCAGGTGGTACCTGCAGGGGGGAGCGAAGAGTCGCGGCCCGTGCATGCAGCATTCTGTCAACAGCTACTGCTCGGATGCATTACGGCACCGCTGCGCAGAGCACTCATCGCAAGGCTGCCGAGCAGTGTGCTGGAGACTCAAAGCCTGAGTGCCTTGGCCTGGCACTTTTTGAATCTAATCTGCAACACGACAGTGAGAGAGGTGAGCTTTGCTCCAACTGAGGTCCAAGCTTCGGGCTAGTAGCAGAGACATTGGCACAGCATGTGCTGACAACAAGACCAGCTCCAGAAGCGAGTGCCGAAAACGCAATTGAAGAATGGCTTTGTTTTTTCTTCGCATTGGTCAACTCATTTCTATCTTGCTTCATGAGCTTGGACACAAGGGTGTGCGCAGCTTAGGCGTTCACTCAGCAGATGCGACTGTTGAGTCAGACAACAGCAACACGGAGACACAGAAGCCAAGAAGCTCGCATGGCAATCAAGTTTTTTTGCCCGTTCAACACCCTTGCACACTCCTTTTAATTTTGGACTTGCGGCGAAGGTTCAGCCTACTTGTTGGCACGACTTTCTTCGTAATATTGCGGCTACGGATTCAACTGAGGTCCACCAGATCCTCCAAAGGAGGAGCATGTGGAGGCTTCGTCGTGGTCAGAGTGAGAGTGCTGGTAAGACCCTGTGCACTCGCTGGAAACATTGGCCTCGCTAGGAGACTGGCAGCTCACCAGAGATAGTCACTCGGAGACAAATAAAATACTAGACACGGCATGACACGGCGATTGTCTGTATACGTGCATCCAGTTGTACCACTTTCACCCTCCCACACTCACACAGACGAAGGTAGGGCACATGGTAGGGAGGCTGTGTGTTGAACTGCCGAACAGGATGGCGAATCCTAAGTGTCGTTTTGAAGCGCCGCTATATCAGAGTCTAGAGTTGGAAGTGACGAGCCAAGAACTCCTGCACGTCAACTCGTGCAGGAACGGCGAGCGGGGGTGAAAGATGGTTGATGATGTAACAATGATGTGATATTAGATATCTGAATCATATCGACACTCACGTGCTTCTTAAGGCATACATGCATGAGTGCGTGAGCGCCGGAATCTAGCCCACGTAACCTTGTGTATGTGAATCGATTTCTAGGGCACTCTTTGACTTACGTCGCTGGGAAGTAGCCTCAATTCTCTGCAACTGCTGAGGGCATTTCTTTGGATGTCGATGCGGAGCAGATGGGACCTCCTGCCCAGACTCGGGATATGGAGCCCGGACTAGTAAGCGTCCGGTGACAAAAGATGCAGTGCGCCTGTTGCTTTATGTTGCCTTGCAGCCCGAGTCGGGCTTCGGCTCAGCTGCCAGGCAGCAGTCTGAGCCCGATGGTCGAGGTTCACAAGGCTACCTGGTGAGGCGCAAGTCCTGAGGGAGTGCATGTGCGCCGGCGGGTCACTTGGCATGTCTTGTTGATCCTTCTTGGGAATGGAGGCTCCTACAGAAGATCATCAACAACATTCATGTGGTCCTGCGCTGAGTGCCCATGATGCTCTATAGTTGTAGATGAATGTCGCATGCTGCAAGCTGATTCCGAGTGCGCCGCAGCCTGGCGATCGAAGTATGCGGAGTTTTGGTATGTTCTGCGCGTCACACGCCAACAGCCTACGCACTCAGAGCGGCGCAATCCTCCGCCGTCTTGCCCCACGTCAAGATCTGCCGCGTCACAACGATACGGTGACATAACCCATCGCCTAGATTCTAGATTGCCCGGCGGAAGCTTCAGATGCCTATAGGCAAGGGAGGTTAGCTGCCGAAATGGTCAAGGATCCCATTCTATTGCCTCATGGCACAAAGCCCGGAAATACATCGTATGAAACCATTCATTTGTCAACTATCCTGCTTAGTCACGTCCAGCTCTTGATCTGTGTGTGCCTGGGGTTGGAGCTGAGGATGTGTCCGACTTACGGGTCACCTTTGCTAGCAGGCTCGATTCCCCCAGCGCGAAGCCACTGCCAGGTCTGCTTAGGCGTTGTGCTATTGCGGCTTGTGCACGCTGGCCGCAGCTGTTTTGTGGTCATTTGAATGTGTGGGCTTTTGGGAATCCTCCGCAGGCATTGTGGCTGAAACCTGTCCCTGTGCTGCAGTTTTGTGTTTTGAATCGCGCATCGGAGCCTTGCAGGCGCCTCAGTTTTCCACATTATCCCTACCGTCATGTGCAGCTGAGGGTTGCAATCATTGTGCACTGGCATGCTATATGACGCCCAGGAGCAGACTCATAATCATGGACGCTTTTGCCATCGCCACCCCCGCCGCGTCGCACCCCGTGACCCGACCTGTGGAGGCATGTCCCCAGCGGTCCGAGCTGGAGCAAACCAAGGGTAGAAGCGGAGTGATTTTTGAAGAAGCCCTTTCCTGGTCCTGTCGCATCAGGCCGCCTCCCGTGGTGCACGCGCTGCGGCACCTTTGCACACCAGCCAAGCAGCAGCAGCTGCCAGTGCATTTGTCACAGGCGACGGATAATAACCACATGCTGACACTGTGCCAATTGTTGCTAACTGGGCGGGTAATGAAGCCGCAAGGGCGTTGTCACTATCTTTTCGTGCAGGCGGTGGTTGTTGTGAGCCTGCTCCATTGTAGACGGCTTGGCTCAAAGCTTTTGCTACACTGCTACACACCTCCTCAAGAGTGTTTGAAACACCGCAGCGCTCTTACAGAGGTGTTGCTGAACTAAACGGAACGGGCAACCGATGCGCAATCTGCATCTTCTCAGGACAGCATGTCTGACGACGAAGATGAGGGGGCAACCCAGAACGCAAACAAGTTCCTCGGCTTGACGAGAATTTCATTGCGATGTCTTGTCTGAGTCTCGTCATGTCGCTCCATGTGAGGGTTGTTCTTCCAGAATTTCATGAGCGGCCCGGGGCTTACTTTCAGCAGGGTTACGGCCAAAGATCCTTTTGTACACATGGCCAGCTGCCGCTGGCAGCAGAAGCCGCCTTGCTATGGCTTGCGTCATTTCACTCTCATTACACATTCGAGGTTGATTCGTATATGATACAGCAGAAGCCAACCACTTTCCCCGAGGCACAACGAGCTTCGCCCAGACCTCTTTGAGAAGATCCTGGTTCTTGCCGGTGAAGCAGTGCTAGCCCCGACAGTGGTCGTGAATAAGTTCTCGAAAAACTGTCGCGCTGCTGCAGTAGTAGCAGCACGTACGTGCACAGGTGCAGAAACACAAGCTGCAGAAGGATATAGCTCAGCACATCAAGCAGGCTGGCGGTGTAATGTTTCAGGACTTGTAAACTGGGCTCGCGCACAAATCACGGAATCTCTCGCGGCGCGACCGCTTGCAACTAGACTTTAGCCGTGTGTTGCAAGGCTTTGGATACCGACGTCGATTTCAATGAACTAATCGGCAAGGGGCCTTGGCAGGCCACGATCTTCGTCCGGCATATGACCTGATTGGGGAAGGATGTGTTGTGGCATTGGGAGCAGCATTGGTCCAAAGCATAAATTGCTGTTCGCTGAAGCTTGAGCATGCGATTTGCAGGTCATAGTGGGCCGCTCCTTCGCATCTTCTGTCACCCATGAGGCCACATTGAGTGGAACATGTAAGTCGTCTTTTGCTTGCCAGAATCCGCGTATCATGTCCGCGACGGAGGCTATGCACATCGCATTCTTCGATTTGCCCAAACACCAGGCAATGCGCTATCGCGGCATCTTAGATTTGAGACTGCAGCTCGCGCACGAGCAGGAGACTTTCCTCATCTACAAGTCCTTGGGTGTCCAGAGCATCTGAGCCTGAACCGTGCAGCAGGGACTGCAGCTGTACCCTATTACTATACGTAGCAGGCAGAAGCCTTGGATCCGCAGCTTCTGAAAAAGCGGAGCCGGTTGTCCTGTCATTATTTGGGGTATTTCATGGTCGTCTTTTGGCTGGAGCTCGGGAGTAACGAGAAAACTTAACAGCTTTGCAGGCGAAAGGTACCGTGCGCTTCGCTGCTTTCACCCAATCGCCGCTCCGCCAAGTTCAAGACACGCGTTCAAATCGAGCGCGAGGTCTTTGACAAACATGATGCATGAATCATTGGCTTGCGGGTTAAGGGCAATGGGATGACACACAGCTCAGGAAATATTAGACGATACTGTTGTTTGGGCTTGGTGGCAGCGGCTCTTGAACCTTGACAATAACACTTTCGAATGCCTGACTGGATGCATGCCGCGACTCGCAGACAAAACAAGTCGAGGGTCGCAGGATTGTTCGGCCTATTAGGCTTTTTGCCACGCCTTCGAAAAACAGAAGTAATTAACGGGCGACTGCATCCCATCTTGTTGGTGCGATCTCGATCTTTGAAGCAGGTGCAGCTGCTGTGGCCTCAGTCGCCTCAGCACGACGCTCGAAGAGAACTGCGGCCTTGCGCAACCGCAACCAGCGCGTGGCGTCCTCAGCAGTTGATGCGAAGAGGGAGACATCTGCCTTGTTGGCCTTGCTGGTAGCTGTTCGATTCGAGGTAGCAGCTGTGGCAATGCACGGAACCCCGGTGTGTGCCGGCGTGGTCATCACTGGCGGAGCTGCTGGCGTGGGCTACGCGTATGCGGATGAGCTCTTGGCTCGTGGGCATCAGGCCAAAGACTTATTGAGGGTGCTTCACTGAACTACACTGTCAGTCCTGTTTGCACCATTTGCTCAGCGTTTCGGCAGCCCGGCATCTCCCGCATCACAGATTGCAGGTGGTCATCTGCGACGTGAAGGCGAGGCTATGGAACTGCCGCGCCTCGTGGATGGTCTTCCATCACGGTTTCATGCCAATGTCTCTCGAACACTTGTCAGGACTGTTCATCGGCTGTCGAATCTCTCAAGGCGAAGCATGGCGAGAAAGCCAGCAGCTTGCGGCAATGGGAAGAATCTTGCAGGTGACCAATTCTGGTGCGGTCGGATAAGTGAAATTCGCGAGGCATATACGCCACAACTTGCGACGTGTCCAGTATCGACAGCATCAACAATCTCATCGAGTTCGTGAAGAAAAGCATTGGAGTTGTGCACTACTGGCAAATCGCCCGCATATCCGAGGCATTTGTTCCTGCATTTTGTTTGTTCAGTTGAAGTTTACGTCTTGCCGACCTGCTCAACAGCATGCAAGGATAAACAACGCCGGCATCAACGGTGGAAGACGACGCTTCACCGAGATCAGCCCCGAGATGGTGGACACTGTGGTCCGTGCTGGCCTCGGAGTGTCAGCCGTCACAGATTGCAGTCTGAGTTTGCAGCGAGCCACGCTGCAAACCGAGGGGTGAACTTGGGCATCTTGGCTTGCAAGCATGGTCTCAATGTCCTTCCTGTCTGGTCTGTCCTGTCCATTCCACCATTATCTCAACATGTCCGTGTTGCTGTCTGACAAATGAGTCATGTGAGGCGGCATTGTCCTTTGCACACATGCTGCCATGAGAATGATGGAGCAACAGCACCTTGAATGATTTCACGCTTTCGGCTGTTTCGTGTCCACTATCATCCGACTCGTTGGAAGCTACGTGGGGTAGCCTCAATCAAGGAAAGGTGTCGAGAGCCACATCTTCAACACCGTCGGCAGTGGCGCAACTACCTCAGAGGGTTTCATCTTTGTGGGCTCCAGCGAAAGCGGGTCTGAGCGCCTCTGAGAGAAGTTTAGGTCAAAGGTGGCGGCACACCGGGATATGTGACCTATGGTGCTACGAAGCGTGGCCTTCCCCAAATGACGGAATCCCTGGTGAAGGAGATCGAGGCAGTTTGACAGTCCGATTTGGTCTGCGTGCAGACTGGCAAAGAACTACTTGTAGCTGACTGTCGTTGGACTCTGGATGTTTGCTGACCTGCAGGAAGGCGTGCAAGGGAACCTTGGTTGCAGACATGCTGCGGGGCCGCCACAAAGCCTGTTCTTAACGTCCCATTCCCGGAATGGCATGCACCAGGTATGAGAAGGTGGAGACGCCTGGAAAGGTTAACTGCCACTGCCTGTCGCCTGGAATGGTCCCGGCCTCAGAGAGCTTTCAAATCGAAATACTGCACCGGTCAGACACAAAGCGGGGCTTGGAGGTCTTCACCGACCTGCTACTCAACGACTCGACGCCTGAGTTGCGGAAGTTCCCCTTCGGGGTCCTGGCAGCGCAGCCCGAGGAGGCACCTCTAGGTTTCGATGCTTGGTGACGAGATGAGCGCCGCAAACATCGAAATTCAGCAGGTGGCCAGGGATTTGGTGCCCAAAATTCTCAGTGTCAGCGGCAACGGCAAGTCTGCTACCTGGCGATTGAGAAAAGCATTCTATGCATAAAAGATAGGCTTCGCTGTGGCAGATAATGCCAGCTGGGGAACCTTGTGCCAAGTGGCTGCGCAAAACACGATGCGTCAGGAACAGCGGCGCAAGTTGCCATCGGCACTCATAAACGCAAGCGTGCTACATCGGCCCTGAAACCTTTCTAACGGTGTGTCGAGTTGCTGCCACGCTGCACTACTTTGCGGCCCTCGTTGAAGATCTCAACTCACTTTCGATCTCCTCGCTCTCCTCTCTAACTCTAATTTAATTCTCTGATAGTCGCGCGCTGCCAACGTTTCGGGGAAAAGGTTTTTCACGGATGCTTGGGAAGTCCAGAAGTAGACGGAGGGAAGGGGCGGGGTGTTGGGGACACAAGTAGAAAGCAGAACCTGCCCGGTTTGGTCATGATCCGATTGATGTCTTGTTATGTGCCAGGTTGAGTTCCTCACGGTCGACAAGATCTTGACGAAGTTCTTTGGACGCTTCATCCTGGGAGCCTCTCGGTTGACGCGGCACCCGTCGGTTGTTCAGTCGTATTGTTACATTGTGTGATGTTCACTAGCATGAGATAGCATGAGTATTTTGATTTTTTGGTTCTATGATTGCAATCGTTTTTTATAGCCACTTGCGGATTCTCACTTATTTCTGGAACACTGGAGACTCTTTCGTACGTATATTGGTCCATGTGTCGCCAAGTCATTAGAGACCTTCAGATCTGGTAAAGGAAAAATCGAAGTACATCGACGATGATGGCAACGTCATCCAAATGCCTGGTGCGCAGTATCAGGAGCCTTTCAAGAAGGGCCGCCCTGCAGCTGTGGATCATACAAGTTCGTTGCTTGCAGTAGGGCCAAGCAGGATAGAGTTGTGCAAACAGGACAATGGCGTTCGAGTTCTCTACGACGGTATGAAGTGAACATGCAAGGGAAAGAACTCGCGGTGACGGTGCTGGAACCTGACACGATGCAAACTCGAAGAGTAAGCAAGTTGTACACTGCACACAGGGATGGCAGTTTGTTTCCGACGTGGATCGGCGCTTTAAGCTTTAATTTTTTGGATGCAAAGTGCATCAGCTGAGATGATGGTGGCAGGGGTGTCCTCTCGGGCTACATGCACGTGCAGCAGCTTAACAGGTGATTCGGTGTCGATGGGAAGTGCTATGTCTGCTATGCCGCCTTGTCTCGGACGGGCGCAGCGCTTCACAGTCCGCGAGCGACGCGGCTCCCAGCTCTGCTGTAGTAGGGACGGCAAGTACCTGTCATTTCTCCAATGACACGACTCAGACCAGCGGATGCCTTCTGCCCCAGAATAAAAGGTGTTTCTTGCCCGCAGCTTCAGCCCCTAGCATTGCATCATGACCGCAGCCCACAGCAGGCAGCATCGCTTCGCCTCCGCTGTTGAGCTTCCATCTTTGGAGGTGGTCTCCACCGCTCGGATCTCGGGGCACATGTTTTGGCTTGAGGGCAAGTAAAGAGTCTGATAGTGAGACAATGCCCGGCAAAATATGACAGAACTCGGACGAAGTGTGTGTGACATCATCTGCCACCTAAACTCCACAAGCCAAACTCACGCCTGGTCGTAACAGTTCTTCCTCGCAAGGCGTGCGGCAAAACGTAACTCAAGGCTTCTCGGGCCTGCGATGCGGGAGCCGCAAGCATCAAGCTGCAGTTTTCATCGCCCAGGGAGGATGCCATGCAATGAATGGCCCTGCCGCTGCGCCCCGCACCTCACCGTCTAGATTAACAACGATGGCTCTGAACAGTGTGGAGCCAGAGTAACACCATCACCAAGTTTCCGTTGAAAGCCAAACATGGGCCTAAAAGAAGCGATCGGAAGCCGACCCCCAGGGCGCAGAGCTGCTAACTTAGGACCAGACATTCCGCGAGCGGTTCACGTCGGAAGTGATGGTGTGTGGACCCCAGCCCCAACTCAGTCCGAAGTCGATTATCAGTTTGGAGCCTGACAGCCGTAGGTGGGACAGTACTCCAGCTTGCTCGGTATGTGGCTGGTTGCAAAGCAGATCATTGTAACAGCTTGGCGCGAGCAGTTGCCACATACCTTAAGTACCGTGAGATATCTCGATTCAATTAAGCCTTCCTGCAGGAGTGCCTCGGCCTGAACAAAGCTACCAGTGTCGCTACAACTTGAGATGGGTGCTCCTTCCCTTTTTTGGCCCCCTGGAGCGACCTGCTTGTTCGACACTGGGCTCTCGCTCTCTCTCTCTCGCTCTCTTCTCTCTCTCTCTCGTCCCTATTGCAGTGATTTTTGCGGACTTGCCGTGCCCAATCCTTCGAAGCTCCAGGTCCGGCAAGTCCATGTACAAGGTACTGAACTTGCGAGGTGCCGCTGCTCACGTGCCGTATGTGTGACCATGCCAGACAGGATCGTGCCCCTGAATTGCAAGATGTGTGTTTTAACAGTTTTTGAATGATTCTATTTCCTTTCGGCTCGGGCCGCATGCAGCTGCCTCGTGGCAGTGTAGGAAGCGAATGCAACATACCGTAGTGTACCCGCAACCACCAACGACCTGACATTCGTCCCAGGCCCCTTCCTTTGGTTCATACAAAGACTTCGTTGGATCTATGAAACAATTTATATACCATTGGTTGCTGCGTTTACGGGCAACTTTCGCCTGACTTGGCCGTAGCAGTCAAGCTGTTCGCACATGAGGGCGCTGTTCGTGCCTCCTTGGCTGTGGGTCCTGTATGTTTTGTGCCTGGGCTTACATGCCGAAGCTTCAATGGATAGGCTGACACATGCTGTATGGCGACTCAGAGCTGAAGCGGCGCGGAAGAGAGGGAGGGAGAGCAATTGCACAGAGGGGCGAGCACGGTGTAAAGATGCTGAGGTGTGCAGCCGTTGACGTCTATGGAGTCACCAGACAGTGACTCGTGGGATGTTTGCGACGAAGGTTTGGTTAGCAAGCCTCACAAGTCCACCAGTGCAGACCTAATCGAAGCTTGGCCTCGAATTTGGCAGTCAGCCAGACAGCTTTGCGTGCCGTCCAAAACAGGGATTGCACAAGCAACATGCCCACAGCCCCTGCAAGGAATTAAACTGGCCCTGCAATGACGGAGGCGTTTGCACGCAGCCTGTGCCTCAAACCGAATGTCGTCAATCGACGGAAGTGGGACGGAGACATGTTATGCCAAAAGCCTGACAAGCTGTGAAAAAATCAGGCCTCAGCAGGAACAGCTTCAAAGCCCGTCCAGGCAGGAGCACGGGCTGCAGGACGGGAGCAGGGATCCCCCACAGGGATCACTTTGAACACGTGATTCGTAGGGAGTTTTGGGGTTGTTTCGTTTTGCCGTGTTGTTTTCCACGGGAACTTTGCAAAACAACTTGCCTTGGTCAACACAACAACCGATTTGCTGCGGCTGGTCTGGGATTTGAAGTCGTTTTTTGCGCTGACTTCGTGCTTTATGCCTGCGTGAGGCTGAAAAAACTAAGACCTGGCTGCTCTATCGGAACTGCCTCCTAGACAAACACAATTGGCGCACAGAGCGTGGGTCCACTGCTTCATCACAGGCGCATATTGGTGCTTGCCTTTCCGGGTTCCAGAACCGGTTGTTGTGTAGCGCACGCGATAGCTTCGCCTTGTGGGTGGCGGCGTGTTCTGACTTGGAAGACGCCACCCACTTGCTCCCGACGGTATCCTTCGGGCCGTCCTCAGCGTCCTCCCTACCACCACCTCGTCAATGACGACGACCCCGTGAAGGACACGCAGCCGGGCGTTGATCCAGAGCCCGACTTGGACAGATCCCTTGGGCGGTGAATGGCGGTGAGCGAGGAGGCAACAGGGGCCCCGGTCCCGGCCGACATGGCAATGACCTCGACGAGCCCTCGACATCTTCCTCGCTGAGTTCGATGCCCCGGCAGATATGGCGGATGCCGATCTGTCGGGTGTCCTCGCCAAGGCCGACCCGCGACGTCGACGTCGCCAACCTCCTGGGCCTGGGCGAGCCTCCACAACAAAAGCTCACCGACGACTTCTGACATCGACTACCACCAGCGAGTCGCTGTCAGCGCCCCGGCGGCGTCACCATGAGCGCCAGGTCGCCCGCAAACGCGCCGTCGTCGACTCGACGGTGGCGATGAGAGCCGCCGTGGCGCAGGCATGTAGGACGCCATCTCCAGACCGGGTTGGGGAGGCGCCTCAGTGACAGCGGCTGACAATGCGACCTACCGTGATCCCCCCTTTTCGCTTTACATCGCTTCACGGCCCGACTGTTCAGAAATCGCTGCATTCAGAGGAGCTCGACGCTTTTTTGGACGACCCCCCGCCGGCTCCCGATAAGCGGATCGCTGGTCCTGGAACAGCAGGGTGTCCCTGCCCTTCGTCGGCTATGGCCGGGGGGTCGACAGGATCTTGGCCTTGCCGAGCCGGGCTTTAGGTGGCGAAAGGCTGCGTGGACCGGGCACAGCGGTTGTGTCTCAGCGACCCAACCCAAACCAAGACGCCAAGACAAAGGCGTCCGTCGAAACGGCCGGGATCGTCGGGGCGTCCAAAGGAAAGCCTCCTTGAGGCGTGAGCCCGAGAACCCCTGACGATGGCCTTGACGAGCCGGTTGGCCATCCGGCGCAGGGCAGGCGAGCCTTCCAGCATGTTTAGACTGCTCTTGCGCAGTGCACGCATGTTTTCTCGACCCCTGCAAGATCGGCACTAGTTTCCGGCAGCAGTTCCAAATTGGCAGCCAGCCGGGCGACTTTCGCGCAGGGTGACCACAAAAATATTGTCTTAGTACGCACGCATCTGCCTGGCTAAAAACTGCGCATTTTGACAAGTTACACTTCCATAGCGAACTTGCGGTTGCACACGCAGCTGCCCGTTGCGATGTTTTGTGGCAGCCATCTAAGATTGTGTGGGGTGTGTTGGCATTTTCCGGCCGCTGCTTCTGCAATTGGGGTTGCAGACAGCTGTCAGCACTAAGCGGAGACAGCAGGTTGCCCCGACGTTTAAATGTGCCAAACCTCTGCCATGCTGGTGTGATCCGAAGTGCCGTTGCCACAACGCGGGTCGCCCCACCCTTTCGCTGCCACGCTTCCTTCCCCTGGCTTTCGTGGCTTTCTTCTTCTCGAGTAGTAGGAGCAGCAGTCGCAATCGTAGCAGCAGCGGGAGCGGCAGCAGCAGCAGCAGCAGTAGCAGTAGCAGTAGCAGTAGCACTAGCACTAGCACTAGCACTAGTACTAGTGGTAGCACTAGTAGCAGCAATAGTGGTCGTCATCACACGTACGCATGCGCGTG